TACACCTCAGCAGTGACCGAGAGCAAGGGCGTCAGCGTGGGGAGCCCCCACCAAGGCTCCTGCCAGCGTTTGCACCAAGTGAGCCCCACGCATGGCAGCCCCCAGGCCAGCCAGCCATTTATCAGCCCCGGCCCCCAGCCAAGGCAGCCTGGCCCCCCCCAAGTGCTCAGTCGTCGTTGTTGTCCCCGCTGCTCCCCGTTCTCTGTCGTGCTTGGTATCAGGGACTGGTCACAAATGCCAGCTGTCACAAACAGGCCACCGCATAACACCGCATCTCTGGTCTGTGATCCTAGGTGACCGCAGGATCCCAGGGGTTGTGCTTTGGGCTGCTCTTGGCACCTGCCCCTGCACGACTGGGAACTGGAATAGTTCCCGGCTGCGGGGAGTTTTGGGGACTTGCCTGATTATCTTGCATCGTCAGGGACCTGCAGTTTTTGCAGTGTGTTGCAGCACTGATAGCAGGAGCCATGACAAGTGTCCTGAGAGATCAGAGCCGCCAGTGAACGGCTGACAGGAGGAGCGGAGGCACATGACCCCTGTTTGCTCTTGAGTAAACCGACAGCGACAGTCCACGCAGACTCCTCGCCTGCCTCTTAGGCACAGCGAGCCACAGTGGTTTGAAGAAGAGGAATTTCTCTTCGGGAGTGACCTCTAGGGCCGTGCCACAGAGGCATCTCCCTGCTGCCACTGTTGAGGCTTGCTCAGGCTGGCACCGTCGATGCTCTGGCTGGACTGGAGATGTCATCTGAAGTAGGGAGCTTACTTCTGGGGCCCTGCTTTTTCAGACAAGAGGAGATTAGGGCTTTCCCATTCCTGATGAGTGAGTTTTAAGGAAACTGAGTTTAACTTCCTTGTTGGCTCGGGGTTACGCCCTGTGCCTGGACATATTCTGCAGGGCCAGCTGAACTTGGATCCAGAGGAGTGCCAGGAGCTCCTGAGGGACTAGATGGGCTCAGGGGACTCCTTTTGAGACATGTCACAAGGGACAGTTGTCCTACGAGGTCAGAAGATTTGCTGTTTAACAGCAGCAGCTGTGAGCAATTGCAAAGGTTGCAAAACAACCCTTCCTGTCCGCTGCTGGTGTCTTCTCCCCACTCCTGGTACTGAACTCCCTCCCCTGGTCAGGGGGGCTGGCACTGGGGTCCCAGCTTTTCCCCAGCCCCTGTCACAGCTCCTTGCCTGGCTGGGTCACTCCGCAAGTGCTGAGCTCTCATTTCCCAGGCCTGGTCTGGCTGGCTGTGTCCTCAGCTTCATCCAGAGCGAAAGTGGCCTCCAGAGGTAACAGATGTGACGGGAACCCAGAGGGAGCCAGGCTGCCAGCCCTCGAAAGCAGGAAGGCTGAGGAGTGATGATTTAATAACCACGCGCTCCTCAGCAGGCTTCCACTCTGATGCCAGTGGTGCAAGGGATAAGGAGCAGGAGCTGGAGGTTCTGGTCATAAACCAGGCGGCACTGACTTACCAACACATCTAAACTTGGAGAAGGCCAGGCCAGGCCTGGAAACCAAACGCCAGCAGGTGGACAAGACAGAGGAGGTGGGGAGGTGGTGCTGTAGGTTAACAAGAACCAAGATAAGAACTGGGATAACAGTCACTTCTGGGTGGAAGTGCATCAGCAGATACCCAGCCCACGAGCTGGGTCTGAAGAACGTGCAGACCTCACTCAAAACCCCTGCAGCCGAAGAGCTGCTCCATAGCTGTCACCATAGAGAACTGCAAACCCAGCGGCTCTGCAAGACTGAAAAACCCCAGTTTTGCTCAACTGCAGCCACCCCCCCAAACTGCCCAGCAACAACAAACCCCCCCAAAAAAAGGGAACTGCAGAGCGAGCAAGCTTGTTAACAGGACAGAGAATTAAATCCCCACAGCAGCCCTGCAGCTGCAGCTGGGAACTTCCTGCTCTCTTCAATCCCATCCCCATCATGCGGGTGGGGAATGGGTGCCCAGGAGAGGAGGGAGGGATGGGTGGGGTGGGTTCCACTGCTACCACTGGGCTGGCACCACTGTTGGGCTGGCACCACCACCACCGGGCTGGCCAGACGCTTCACGTTGGGGTGTCCATGGCTGCAGGGGGAGGACAAGGACCAGAGGTACGCAGCATTCCCACAGGCTCAGGCTGGGTCCGTTTCTCCTTTGTTACAGGAAAAGGAATCAGGAACACTGTCCAAAAATGGGGAAAAAAAAAGTGACACAGGCATTCTTTAGGGCCTAACTCAGGTGCAGCAGGGTGCTGGCTCACCTGGATTGTCATCAGCAACTGGACTCCCTCCTGCCCCCAGCTCAACAGCAGCTGACGTAGATACCAGCACAAGCACGGAGACACACACCGCTACTCCGCGCTGTTTCTCACCCAGGAGAAGCACGACCTGCTCTCCAGCATGGGTGCGGCACGAGGGCCTATACCTCCAGCCCATCCCTTGTCACAGCACTTGCAGGCACCCCTCCCAAAAACAGCAAGGCAAACACGTCGCCACGCGCAACATCTCACTTGTGCTCCAGTGCGGCGCATGGGGTACGCAGCAGCGCAGGCTGGCACGCTGCACACCGCTGCGTCCTTCCTTCCACAGCAGCGCTGCTCTTCCCCTCCCTTCTTCCCACACTCCCCGCCTACATAGCTCCCTCCTGCTCACCTATTCCCATGCTCAAGACCAACAAATTCGGCTGACGTACTCTCATCTGCTTCCAGTATCAAAAGCAGCTCCTGGGAAGGTTCGCTGCTCACCGCAGGGGCTGGGCAGGGCGAGGGATTCCACCTGCGCTCTGCTGCAGCATTGGGAAACTGCTGCGAGCAGTGGACGGGTATCACTTGCTGGGAAACAAAAAACAAGCATTAAAGCACTTTGCAACTGCTCAGCGGATCCTCTCGCAGCTGTATCAAAAATGGTATTTCTGATTCAGGCTGTCAGATGCTGGGCCAAAATCCCAGAGTGAGGAATACAGACACCAGGATACAGGGAGCTTAGAAAACTGCCTTTATTCTATTAGTTGTTGGAAAAATGAAAATACAGAAAGAGTTTAGTTGGCTGCAGAACAGCAAGAAGTTCACAGGTTAGGAGTCTGATCACTACATGGTAACCAAACTTACACAAAAATGTTCTTTTTTTTTTTTTGGTTTTTTTTTGTTTTGTTTTGTTTTGAAACTGGGTCCAGCAAGTAATTTAAGGCAACTGAACAGTTCAGAAGCTTTGAGTGTGAGCAGGCTGTCTTTTCTCATCCCTACGGCACGTCATGGAAAAAACTCCTCCTGGGTGTGCAGACCACTCAAATCATTCAAATGGGTCAGAGTCTTACAAATGAACAGGGGAAGAGGATCAGCTGCTTTCCATCGGACTTTATTTTCAAATACAGTTTCTTAAAAAACCCAGAACACCTTAACGCAGAGGTTACAAGTAACAGTATTAGGAAATCCAATTATACAAAAAATACTACATCTAAGCTGGGGTAAATAGATTTATTTTTGGTAACATACATTTAAACTGGCACTAATTACACAGTAACTAAAAGGTAACTAACATGAAACCACAGAACCCTCACTTTTCCTTAGCTGAATGGGACTTGGTCATTTCAGAGTGATCACATTTTCAAACTAATGCTTTACACCACTGAGCCATGAAAATCAGATCTTCCTAAATGTGATAGCACTGAAGCTACGCCTGATTCCACATACAGCCATGTAACTGTTGTACTCAATTAGAATAGGACGTTAGTTATAAAGTAGTTACAGACCAATCCTCTGTGTTGACAGCTTTTTCTCTTTCTAGAGAGAAGAAAGAAGATAGAGAATTGTCTTCAATTAGCGCCTGGCATATCCTGTGAGTGCAGAAAAGGTTTGTTAGAGGAATGTTGAGGTTAACCTTGGGTGCACAGATGAATTTGATGCAGATTGTTATAAAAATCATGGTTGGCTTCTAAATACTGGTAGCAAGATGACTCGATTTTTAAATCTCTTAAGTAAATTATAGATAATGAAAAAGGCCAGTAATCATACACTAAGATTAATAAACAGCACTTCAAAATTACTCAAGTGCAGGGTGCTGCTTTTGGCCATCTTCCTCTGGCCACACTTTATAAGAGAAGGCACCCGGACTTTTTCTTGCCACGCCGGGCTTGCAAAGCAGCTCTAGTGGCCATTTCAAAAACCTCCCTCACACCGTCTTTGGTCTTTGCCGAACACTCCATATACCCAAATGCACCAATGCGGTTTGCCATATCTCTTCCTTCTTCGGGTTTGACAGGCTCCTGCAACAGCACAGAAGCAGGAGGTGAGAACAGCCCAAAGCCACAGCGATGCGCACCTGCCTTCCCTTTCCCACCCAGCTTCCCAACAAAGGCAAAGGAATTTCTGGATTAAATGCACATAATTAATTGGTTAATTGCTCCCTCCAGAGCGATCCTTTAAATAATAAAGGCAGATTTAAAACAAAATGTGCTTATTTTCTCATGATGCAGCCCGCACCTCGGCCTGGATTACACAGACGGGGTGCATATTTCCACACTGCGCCAGTGCTTGAGGACGCGATTGATTTTCTAACATCTCTGAGCTTAAAGGCTGCAAGACCCTTTGAAACTTGAGCAAAAGATTGCTTATTTCAGAGGAAACACTTATGCAACTCTGCCACAACTGTAACAAAAGCCTGTGAACAAATCCCAAAATTAATGCCTCGGTCTTTGTATAAAAACAAATATCACGCAACATGAACAAAAATTCCAGGACAGCGCAGAGTACCTGCAGTCCCATACCCAAGCCAGGGGTTTCAAACACGATCTGAAAATGAAACCTAGTGATAGGCACAGGAGTGAGCTACAGCACCTGTGGTTATCACCTCAAAACACCTACCAATAAAACGGTTTCCTTTCACATCCTGAACATACAAAATAAAGAACAACTTGAATGCGCATGCACTTGATGTGTTGCTGTCTCCTAATTAACTACTTTCTACCTCCGGGATCCAGCTCGCCAGCATGGAGAGCAGCTGACTGTTTGTAACCCAACACAGCCATTTCCATTGCTGAGAATGCCTTCCACTAAAAATTACATCTCAAAATATGAAAAAAGAAACACTCAATTAAAGGTAACATATACTTTCTGGTTTCTGTGATGGATTAAGTGTTCATTATGCAGCCCACAGGAAGCTGGCAGCACGCTGCGGATGCCTGTTTAACGTGCTGCTACAGCCGCTATACGCTTTCTTCATTTACTGTAAGACTATCAGAAAGGAACCTGCCTGCTTCATTTTGGCCAGCTCTCGTCTTGTGTGCTCATCATTCCTCAGATCCTTCTTGTTTCCTACCAAGATGATAGGCACGTTGGGGCAGAAATGCTTCACCTCCGGGGTCCACTTCTCTGGGATGTTTTCTGAAAAAAGAAAAAAAAAGTATGACTGTACTAAACCCCACTTCTGGAGGGATTTTTATTTTAAAGCTTTTACCTGCTGAGTGCTTTTAGCTTGCTAAGCCACACTGATGCCCTTTTTTCTACTCTTAATTTGGGAAGCAAATAGACCTGTTCAGGTACTACCAAAAGAAGACAAGCCTGTCTATGATAATTTTAAGGCTGAAGGACACCTAAACTCTTGGCTTCTCTACATCTCTCCATAGCTACTTGACAAGGGTTCGCATAAAGTGCTTCAAAGAAGAGCATGCAGAATTCCGAAATAGAGAGTTATGGAATATTTTGCTTCAAGAGAAACATTTTATTTACCTCCAGAAGCCAAAGATGGGCACAACCCTAAGTTTTTACATCACTTATTCCGTTTAAAAAGCAACATCAAATGACCACTCCAAACTCTCCCATTAACTGTAGCAGAAATGTTGTTCTACGCACTAATTACAGATACACAGAAACCAAGGCTTTGTGAAGTCATTTGCCACTTCTTATCTGCAGCAAATGAATTTACGCTCATATATATCAGAATTTTCTTCCTCCTAACATAGCTTCCCTACATGACTTCTTTTTAAATGGAGCTGCAAATGGAAGACTTGAGGGCTTTTAAAGGAAAACTTTGATAAATTCTATATATCAGGAAGTGTTCCACAGCCCAAAATGTTTGTCTTTGCTTTCAGAAGCTCTCAGACATCTGAGATTCACCAGTGGATATACCTGCAGGCTACATAACCCCTTTTTATCTTCACAAAATTCCATTCAGCTTTTGAAGAGACATTAACTATTATGGCATTGTTTTCTTGCTTGAAAGAACGACTTAGACAAGCATTCTGAAGGCAGTTTTTGCACTACAGCCAGAACAGCAATTCTGCAGCTGCACCTGGAGTGCTCAGGGGGTGCCAGCCTCTGGACGCTGCATACCTGAAGAGCCACATGGCAGCTGACGGCTCCCAGGGACATGGGTGCCCTGATGCTGGCCAGCAGGAAGGGAGGAAAACGCGGCCAAGATCAGACTTGATTTAATTAAACCCCTCTCCCCCTGCCTCCCAGATTCGGTATCCCATCTTGTTTGCAGGGAGGCGAGGTCTGTCAGCTCTCCAGCTGCCAGGAGAGCGGCACATGCAGTAGCAGCAAGCACAGCCCAAACCTTGTACGTCGCTGTTTACAGCCACACCAGGCACCACCACAGCACTGCCACCAACTAAACTTCAAATTGTTTTGGAGAGAGACAGAGACAATGAAAGACCTCTCTAAACACAGGATCGGGTGGAAGCGATGAAGAGAGAAATCAGAATTTCCCAGGCATCAAGCTGGCATTGATTTCTCTACAAAGACACTTTCACACCCGATTGCCCATTCAACAGCTGCTACCCTTCAGAGGCAAGGCAAGAAATGAGACTGAGCAGCTATCAAACATTTCCCCAGTCAGACTGTAACGCCACTGTAACATCTTAAGGAATATTTTGTGTGCTCATTTACTCAAAGCTTCTGTGAATTGTGGCAGGAATGTTATTTTTGAACCATTGTGGTAGCTGCATTCGGGACTAATCCTTCCATTAACTGCATTTCTGTGCTTTCTGGATCTTTTTTGTCTCATTCTTGTTTCTTCCTAAGACACAACTCTGGGAGGCAGGGTTCATCCAAAAGGTAGATCAGAGGTGTAGTAAAAAAGCCTCCCTAAGGACAGCTTGCAGTGACTGTGATCACCCCAGAGAGAACAGGTATCCCATTTATGAGCACCAGTTAAAATAATTTGACACCTGGCATTAGCAGACAAAGCAGAGGGGTCTCTCACTTTTGCTGGCTAGGAGCTGTCCAATGCACAGACATAATTTTGAACCAGTTACAAGCAGGTTCTTGTCAGAGTACAGCTGGTCACACACACACAAACACACACACTCACTCACATTCAATGTGCCTAAAGATCTGCCATAAAATTATCTGCATTCCAATAAGAAACCTCACAAATAGCCATTAGTGAATAAATCCCACTGGTGAGAAGTAGATAAGGGAACTTTTGCAGAAATTCACTTGTTTAAGAAAGCACTACCACAATGTATTTGTTTAGGAGATAACACTGGATGCATGGAGTAATTACCATTTCAAAGGGACAGAAATCAAAGTTCCAGAGACCTTGAGTCTTAGAAATAAGAGTGTCTCTATCTCCTGCTCCTCACCCTCTTCAAAAACGTCTTTGTAAGATCAAATACATTGATATCAACACATCTGATTTATGAATCAATCAGCGAAGTTTTCAGTCTTGGACTCCACACAGAAGAGATGCTTATCTAACACACAGATTTTTGAAACATATGTTTTTGGAGCTCAGAAATTATAAATCGGGCAACTCTTCTCTTTTCTCCGTCACAAGCAAGATGTCAGTCACTGGAAAGCAGACTAGGAGAGTATAAATCTCCAGCCTCTGATCATTTCCACCAGCGAGAGCGCCACTCCCTTTTCAGTGCAAGCCCTGCTCCAGCATGGTTCTAGCTCATGTTTTTCACCCACCCAGCGAAGAGCAAAAAACCCCAGGCTATTTGGGATTAACAACTCAGTGTTTCAAGCTCATCTCACTTGAGTAAAAGGAGGGGGTGAAGGTGGTGGAAGGGATGAAAAAGCTAGTGAAAGCTAACTTTCCATTTACACAGAACGGAAGTTACTCTATTTTCCTGGATATAGTGTGGTCTCAAGTGTGTAAGAACCTGGAATTTTCAAGTAGTAATAACAACAACAACAAAAAAAAAAAGTAAAATAAAATCAAACCTTAGGTGGGCCATGCCACTCAGTGGACACCTTATGTACTCGCAGGGCACCTGGACACAGCAGAGTGCAGCTACAGCCTTCCTGCTCGCTGGGGGTCTCCACGGCAGCACCTCCCAAGGAATGAGCCCACCACCATGCTGCCTTGGCCCACCAGACAGCGTTGTAGGGTCGGGCGTGCTGATCTAGGCCAGGGAGCTGCCTCCCTGCTAAGTGTTGCTCAAATTATGCAGCAGAGCCCTGGGTAAACGGAGCATGCTGCTGATGCTTACCAAATTCCACTCGACGTTGTTGAAGCATACAAGCTCCTTTAAGATCTTAATGTCTGAAAACTATACGTTCAAACCTGTACAGATTTTGAAACTAGGAATGCTTTCAATCATTACAGCACATGAAAATGTATTTTACAGCCTGATTTCCACAGGGAATACAGCGACACAGAGACGTAGTTCCAATTTAATCGGTGGTCTACTTACCTAAACTATCAGGACTATCAATTGAAAAACACATAAGTATAACATCAGTATCTGGATAAGAAAGCGGTCTAAGTCGATCATAGTCTTCTTGTCCTGCTGTATCCCACAAAGCCAACTCAACCTGCAGAAGAAAGATTAAGACAGTTAGCCAGATCACCAGGGAAGTTTTGATTCAGAAGCTAGTAACCTCAGAGAAGTGGATAAAACATTTCAGTTAACACCACTCAAAAGGAGGAGACTGCAAGACAAAGCGCTTTGACAGGAGAACCGTTAGAAATTTTATATTCCATAACGCCAAAATTAAATTTATTGTATCTTACGAGAATTTTCTTCATATCCATTACCACTGTCAATTCTCTGAAAGGACATAAAAGCTACCAGCAAAAAAACAAGACAGAAGATTCTAAGGGAATCAGCTCCAAAGGGCTGGGAATCTATCTGATAAGCATCCCAGAAATACCAGTTTTCAGCGCAAGTGGACTCTCCAAGTATATGCTTTTAGGATTACGCACATTTTCAATTCATTTACAGCTGGAACCTGCAGTGACTAAGAAATATCAAGATTGTACTTACTTGTGCACAAATTCATTAAAACTCCATCAACAGCAGAAATTTACACTTGTAATTTGCTTTTAGATAAAACTGATTTGTGTGTAAAGCTTCTTGTTACTAAGAAGTGAGTAAAGTAGCCAACATTCTCAGTATTTCTATATGGTGGAGCTAGGGGAGGACATCCCAGTAGGATTGTTTAAAACTGTAGACGGAATAGCCAATGTTTAAACTAGGAAATTTAAAATTTAAAAATTTTCCTTAAGCACTGCTCTGCTACAAACTTTTGTAATCAACTTTTCAGAAGACAAAGTGCTTAGATAAAATAAGTCATCTAGTTACAAAAAACTCAGCTATTCCCACAACAGAAAATGCACTGCTCGAGCTGCTCACGCAATTTTTATTTAGATACAGCTGCATACAGCTGATAGGGCAGGTCTCTCTGTTCAACCCATTTAGAGATGCAGAAATTCAGGCAGAAGGGGATGAGGAAGTTTGACTAAGTGATAAGAGAGAGAAATTGATATCATACATATTTTAAACACTAGTCTTTAGAGTCTAAGGTACAATATAGAAACTGCAGAAACTGTCACCTGGGGGGAAAACACGTTCTAACATTAGTCTGAAAGTAAGTTTTTTTACCCATTCATATCATGGGAGAGAAAAGCTCTTTTTAGACTCAAATTACATGAAGCATCACGACTAAACCCACAAATAATCCATGCCTGTAACAGTAGGAAACCAAATTTAACAAAAAGCCCCAAATGAGCTCAATAAATTTTTGCTCAAATCAGGATCAAAACTGAGCAGTTTCAATCAGTCTGTAACTGCATCTGAACTAGAACCGACTGAAAGATGTTCTGGCTGTACCTGAACCCAGAGCAAAGGCACATGTCACAGCAAGGGGCAAGACAGGGAAGCTCAGTACCGTCAGCATCAAAAACATGCTTGACATGAGGACCCATAGCACTGAGGCCAGCTCTGTGTGGTTACGGTAACAAAACAGACATATGCCATGGCTGCCTAAAAGGGTTTGAAAATAGTTGATATTTCAAGGTGCAAAGTTTCTGCTTTGTGTGCTTCTGGAATATCCTGGGAAGTGACCATTTTACACATCACGCACTGCCTGGTGTGACATAAATGCAGAAGGCAACCCATCAGGCGTTCAGAGAACAGCCTTCTGAAAACTGCCTCTTGGAGTAGGTGTCTGGCATGTTTGCTTGTTTGGCAAACAAAAGGACTCAGAGGTCACACAGATTGAAAACTGATTTTCAAAATATTTAAAACTTAAATATTTTAATGATTAATTTACTGAAGTACAAACTAAAAATGAAGCTTGGCGAGCTGTGGGTAATACTTGGCTGCTAAGAACTGTGTTCCTTCAGACAAGAAGGACAGATGACGCTGACGTACACTACAAAAATCAAATCCCTTAGAAGCCTGTCAGTCATCTCTCCCGAAGAGGATCCTGCACATTGCAGGAGCCAGTATGAAAAAAGACTCTCTTCAGGAGCTAGACTTTGTTAATCACAATACCAGGTCCCTATCAACACAGGGACTCCACTACTCAATTCCAAAGGCTGGTAGCCCAGTGTCCTCAGCACAGAGGCACATCTTTGATTTGCTCCATCCCCTCTCACCTACTGCAACATTTTACTTGGAATAACTGTATGTTTTTTAGAATTTCAACTTGTATAAGGTTAGAAATAGGTTGTTAAACAGACACTGGATATGAGCAGGTTCTAGCAAGGCCAGTATTTTTTCCACAGGAACGTGCTTAACATTTAAAAATATATTTACAACATAAGCACTAAGCATGTGTACTAAGCATTTATTAAAGAAGTGTAGAGATCTCCATGCTGTTCTGAATAAATGCAAATTCATTTTGACTGTTACAGAGGTGTACACGTACCTGCTTTCCATCCACTTCGATATCTGCTACATAATTTTCAAAGACGGTGGGAACATACACTTCAGGGAACTGGTCTTTGCTAAACACAATCAGCAGACAGGTCTTTCCACAGGCACCATCACCCACTATAACCAGCTTTTTTCGAATGGCTGCCATAGCTGAAAAACAAAATGACGATTTATTAATTCTTCCACTTTAACTGAGATGCTAATAATTAACAACCATTAAGTTTCCAATTAATAAGAACTTTTAAATTGGGTCTACATGTCCATTAGACATAAAGACAGGTATGTGTAATCACATGAGTACAAATTCCTATCCTTTTGAAAAAAACATTCCTCAGGACATGTCAACACACTAGTGAGCCACTGGGTGCAAAAATAATACAAAGGGTGGGAGACCAGCCTGGTTCAGCATTTCATTAACCTGTTCTAAAGGTTGAGACGGGAATGTCCTGAGATAGCGAGTAAGCAAGCAGCACTGTTCTAGAGCACCTTCTGTAAAGCGTCTTTTAGGTAACCAAGTAAGAGAGGCTTCAACTGAGGGCAGTTAATATTTTCTGGTTATGCTGAGTTGTCTGAACTACAAAGTGCCAGAAGCAGTGTGGAAGTCAGCCGGACTGAGGAGCACTGTTGCCACGTCAGAGCAACAGCAGAAGGATCTCAAGGTAACTGCAAAGGATTTTGGAAGTACACATCCCGTTCCTCAGCCCGCTTTCCTGAACATCACTGTTATCAGGTTATTTTGCCTGCTTACATCAAGCGAAGGGGGACACTGAGGGAGACCCCATCGTGGTGCTCCACACAGACCTCCACTGTCCGATGTATTGATACTGGCAACACAGAAACCTGTGCAAAGAGTGAGCTGACAGTCTGTTAGTGATATGAAGTTATTCCAGATAGTTCTCTGTCAATATATACCTAATAATGCACAGAAGAAGAATAATTGTACAAACTTCAAATGTAAGACATGGGGCTCTAAGCTGATGATTATGCTTCATGAGCACAGTCTTGGGTCAAGTATCAAGCTCCTGGAAACACGAGGTTGGTAGTAGTCAAAACCAAAATGGAAGAGCAGGAACTGCTAGGAAGGGAACAGACCAATGACATGACCACTGTACAAATCTGTGGCTTGCTCACATGCAACTTTGGCCTCAAAATGGAGTTATGAAAGCTTGAACAGTTTTAGTGAAAGCCTAGAGTCAGGGTGGGACTGAAAGAGATGACTGTGTTGGGTTTGTCAAATTTGCACAAAGTCACAAGTGGCCCTAACAGTATGGATAGGGATTGGTTGTTCGTCATCACTTCCCACAAACGAACGCAAGGGGGGTGATACGCTGATAGTAGAGAAGGGTTTAAGCCCACCAGAAGACAACGGGCCTTGGGAACTCCAACCAGGGGATGTTGTGCACACACGACATTTATACAGGCCTAAAGGAGACTGGGCAAGTACATGCCCAGTACAAGCTTCCTGCCTGAGTTAAATACAGAAACTGCATCTGCCTTAGAAAATCCCCATTGTAAAAGTACTCTGAGGCTGAGATAGCACTATATATGTGCCTGATTCTCTTCTTTCTTTTCACTAGGCATTTATTTGTGACCATTGCAGGAACAAGCCAGAGGTTTAGGGAGGGACATGGCTACAAGGGACTGGAATGAGTACAGACCTATAACTACTTTCTTCTCCATAACATGAAGGCAGTCCAGGGGAAGCCACTTAGTCATCCCATGAAGCTTCCTGGAAATGGAGCAAACAGCAACGCCACCATAATATCTACCATTGCATGACCAAAATACCACAGAGGGAGCACCCTTGTGAGTTAACTTTTGCCATGACAATCCCAGTACAAAGCTCTGCGAGGATGACTAGGGCTGCTGGTGAGGGGAGAAGGGCTCGAAGAAACGGAGAAGAGAATTAAAAGACACACCAAAAATATTTTCTCCTTTCTGCCTCTCCTCTTGCCTTACAAAATTAAATAAAATCTAAAAGCAACCTTTAGTACTAGCGGTGGTGAAGAAGCAGTGGATATTACAGAGATTCTGCTCTACAGAGAAGGACCATTTCAGCCCATCAAACAGCAAGGGCTCACGGACTTGTAGAGCACAGCTTTGTCAGACACAACTGCTCAAGTAATCCAAATCTACCTCTAAAATGAGCTTCTTTTACCTTGTGAATATATATGTACACACATTCAAGTTATTTACCTTAGGGATTTGGGGTTATTTTTACATTCGTGGAAGGTTTAAAATGATTCAAGCTTTTAAAAGGTTTTCTTTCAGTGGTTTTAGATGGTTTTGAATACTTTCTAGCAATGGTAATATTTGATTTTTACAGAACTGGAAGTCATCTGTCCTCTGCACCAAATCAAGATCAACTACTTACAAGTTCTACCTACTGTCAGCTTTGTCTAATCTGCCCTTAAAAACTGTAATGCTGAGTCCTACAAAACCTCTGAAGCCATCTACTCCTGTGCTCTACAATATTCACTATGAGAAGATTTCCCCCAGCGTGTATCCTCAACCTTCTTTGATGTAACATAAGCCTACTGTGCTTATCTTATTTGTCATGGGCATAGGAAAATAGATTATTCCCTTCCCCTAGTGCAGTTGAGAATACATGCCTTCATTTAGTCTCCTCTTCAGGCAAAACAATTCCAGTTTATTCAAGCCTTTTCTGTAAATCACATTTCCTAGACCTTCCTATTGCTCCCTTCTGGGCACAGTCCAATTGGCACAAATTTACCAAAGCATGGAGCCCAAAAGCTGAATCCAGTATTTTACCTCGGGCTTTACCAACATTAACTAGAGCCGAAGGATTATTTTATTGATCTTCCAGTATATACTGCTGCTTAAACTCCATACTGGAAGTATTTGCCATTCTTTTTTCTTTTCTTCCCAGAAGACAACACTGTTGATACATTCAGCTTTCAATTCACAACAACTCCCAGATCTTTTTCATTAGGACTGCTACATAGAAAGTCGCACTCTATTCACACAGCTCAATGTTCTACTGTCAAGATTTTATTTATCCTTCCTTTGACTGATGTTTTATTCTACATCCAAGTTCTAGTTCTGTCCTCCAGCTTAATCATAGCCTTTCTCAGATGCAAGTTTAATAATCATGACGCCCAGATAATTATCTGGGTCACTGATGAAACCACACTGGAGGCAAAGTAGGTGGATGGTGAAATGGGGTAACTCATCATTCCTCAGTGTCCTCCCTCCTTCTCCATTCTGTGTGAGCGGCTGGCCTCTGGCCCTCGTTCACCTGTGTTACCTGCAATAGCACCTAGGGTAGGTGACCTTTTTGGCATCACCTATGGATAACTGTCTTTTTCTGTGGATTATCAGATCAAGTCTTCCTTTATCTTCCTCTAAATACTTCCGTCACTCTAGATTTATTTTTTTTTTAAGTGTTCCTTGCCAGCTGAATCTCATGTTATGCTTTGGCCACCTACATACTTATGCCTAAGGTCTACAAGAAAACTGCAATTCTGTAAAAAAAAAAAAAAAAA